ACATGACATCAAACCAACGGCTCTTTTAAGAGCCACACACTTTCTCTATGGAGACAAACTGTCCTGACTCGAACAACATGTGCACCAACACTCAAATAGCCACTTTACACTAATACTGGAACTGTGGTGAATTCAATCATGGTTGAGTTTAATACTTATGGTTCATTTTGAATTAGTTTCATTGCCCAGTGTCCACAGCTCTGAATCATTCAAGAGTCAATATGTTACACACATGATAAATGAGGAACTCAACATCATCGATCATTTCTTAACAAACTGACGTTACAAATAGACCACAATGGAGCAGTGCATGCAAATGATACAGCATTATGACAGGCTATATCGAAAGTTAACATTTGACTAAACAAACAGGCACTAACATAAATGACAAGGTGTAGCATATGAGCTGAGGTACACACCTGCACATTCACTCAGCTCAGGACCTCCTGGGTGAAGCTAATAGCATGCTAATTATCACATGAGCTGCTAAACAAAGTATAATATTGACAACCAGTGTCATAATGAAACACAACATCAGGTATAACTGATGATAACTCACAWTGTCACTGACRCAMACTGTTCAAACAAGGATGTTTTACAACTTTGCTGAACAGACCTGCCAGAGGAGGAAGTGAACTACTCTCTAGGTAAGTTTGCTACTAAACACGAGCTGTGTGCATGTGCACAAGGTCTCTACAGCAGAACAMAAGTGGTGTGCTGTGASGTCGACCGTGCTCCAGCAGGGAATTTTATACATGAACCATATATGATCACTGCTACGCTGTTTACTTATTTACTGTTTTGAGATTCCCCTGACCCTTAATTACATGAATCATTAAAAAAAAAAAAAATCTATTTCATTGCGCATGAATGATTGGACGTGCTGTTTTAGATGCAGTAGGAAGACAGTTTGTGTCATAGATTTGAAAAAATAGTTTCATTTTTAAGCCCATTAGCAGGTTGAAATGTTAGACGTGTATTGTCCCATGTCTCAAGAATCAGTGATGTGTGTTATTCATGGGGAGGAGGTGGTGGATGTTTTCCCTGGTGGTTATAATTGTATTTTTAAAGAAGCTCATGAAATAGTTGCTCCTCAGAGTTAGAAGAATAGATGGATTAGTAGAGCTATGACTCTCTGTCATTTCATTGTGCTTTCTTCTATTTCATCAGATTTTCTTTCCAGGATCAGTGAAAATGGTCTTGGTTGGTGGAAGGCCACTTCCTCTCCAGCTTCTGTGATATCGTTTTCAGGATTTGATCATAACACCAGGAAGACAGAAGATCATTTGGGGGAAATATTGTTACATTTGTAATGTCATATGCCAGACGATATAAATGTCTTCATCAGAACTGCTGTAATCATAGTTTTCCTCCATGTTGTCTTCCTGCTCTAACACGTCCTCGTTCAAATCATGTTTTGCTTCCTCATCTTGGAAGATCAGATCAATGGCGTCTTGCTGTCGTAAACTCAGTCATTGAAATGGCAGCTGTATTGTACTGACACATGGCTGTGAATGAAATGCCAGAGAAGTTGATTCTTACAGTGTTATCTGTATCTGTGGAATGTGGTAGAACATGAACGGCAGCACAGTGTGCAGCTGATAAATCTGCAGAAAGTTTTTGTTCAAGTCAACATGGTTCAAAATATCAGAGGACGGTTGAAGATTATATAAGATYGACCTTATTCATCCCACACGCTGGTTTGGAGAAACATGCTGTGTATCTGATGCTTAGGATGAGCACTGTGGTTTTGGAGAAAGGAATGCTGGCTCATAATGTTTGAAGAATGTTTAATGGTTTTTAATTATGAACA